TTCTTCTTCTTGCGCCCCTTTTTTTAGTCAGTTGTCTTCTTCCTGGCTTGTCGCTTCTCCCGTTTCTCTGCACAATGCCCAAGTAGTGAGTCAATTCGTCAGTCATCTCTATTCCAAGCTTGAACAGTAGCCGCCGATAGAACTGCTCGTAGCCAATGAATGGATGCAGACCGCAATACCGAGCGATTGCCAAGGGAACAAGAGCTTGCAAAAACTTTGTTCTTCGGAGCAAACCAGGTCGCAAGCTATTGAACGATTCGTTGCATTGGTATCCAATCCGTGGGCCATTCCTTTAACCGCTGCAAAGTAATGTATTTCGAAACGATTGCGTCCAGTAGCTGGTAGAGTTCCGAATCCTCCTCCTTCGTTCTTTAAACCTTCTTGCTTTTCTTTTCTCTCCTCCGTCTCTTTTGATCGAGCACACCAAGCTCCACAGTTCGTATGGCTGTCAAAGTGGTGATCCAACACCGCCTTGCCACGGCTTTCGAATTCAGCTTCCTCGATCTCTTGGAGCGTAGAATAAATAGGCAAAGTTCTTGCCAATACGGATAGAATCCATTCGGCACATCCCCTTCTTCTTTCGAACTGTCGACAGATCCAAACGGATCAGCTCACCCGTCAACTGGTTGCGGCGGTGGTTCGGATCCGCCACAAACTTTGGCTCTGGGATATCACCCGGTAATTTGCCTTTGTCGGGCCGTTCCTGGAGCTCACCCTTGTTCTTCCCTTTTGTAATCTTGACCATGGGAAGAACGTCGGTCTGATAGTTGATTTTGTAGTTAGCGTTGCTCCATTGCAAGTCAGCTCGGATGGATGAGTCGTCGTCGCAGCACAACCGACGCAAGATCACTTTCGACTCTCGAAAAAATCCAACGACAAGCTCCAAAGCCAGAGCGGCCTCCATTGACCCAGATGAATCGTTCGGATTGTGGTTCCGGGTGCATGGGTGGTCCGGTACCGCTGGGCGATCGTCTGCCTCGGTATTTGCATGCCGCTTGGCCCAAGCGGTGCATCTGCTGCAAACCTTGCTTTTGATGCCAAACGAAATGATCTTTCTCGTAATGGCACCAACAATGACACCGTGGCCTGAAACGGAATTGCGCAAGTGACCAGATCCCTTCTGTTGCCACACCATATCGTAAGCCCCATCGACAAACGGCATCTTCTCCTTGAGTAACGTGCCATTGGGATCGTTCACTGCTGCCATCCAATCTAGAAAATCTTGCTCGTTGGCTGTCGATTTCCGGACTCCTCTATTAGATTTTCACGGATGACCTCGTCCATCAACTCTTGGATGGATGGGGCGATTCGTTCTTCAATTATTCCGAATGAACGCGTCTGCATGGTGGTGTCATTTGGTAATCCCAAAAGACCAAGGATTCTGGCCGCTTCGGTTCCACCGTCACCATTCGCAATATTGCCTAATACGAACATCACATTGACCGAGGAGTCCGTGCTTCTTTCGTATTTGCCGTTGCCACCGGCATTCTCGTGCATTGTCGTTTGGGTTGGCTTTGGGCTGGTGTAAGTATAGTCACAATCTTCATTCGAACATGACAGTTTGGTGCCGTTGGATTTTCCTCATCATCACTCTCTGCCTCGTCATACAATGCCCTCTGCATGAAATTTGGCCTTCCTTTTCCATTGTTCCTTGTTCTCGAAGTGACATTGCCAGAGCTTGGAAACTGCCACGGCTCCTTTGACCTCAACTTTGCAAATTCAGCTGCAGCATTGACCTTCCTCGGGCCTGCATTGGGAGTCACAGTGCGAGTGTTGGCTATACCACCGTTTGCTGTGCTCCTACGTTCCATTGTTGTGGGCGATAGAACAGAGCGCGATTTACGTTTTCCTCTCTGCTCGAGGTGCACTATGTTTGTGGCATGCCAATCAAGCCAATATTCGCGGGGTCAGAACATTGCAAGGATATGGAAATTTGGCGCTAACACGATAGCTCGACTGGCTCGAGCATGTATCAAAGACTTAGAGATGAAGCCAGAATTGGTGCGCGATCGATCTTACAACCTCGAACTTTTGGCTCGAACTCGTATATCGCCAATCCAGTGAGAGTACCATCCAGCGAGATTCCGGATTCCGTACATATGTCAGCATTTCGAACGAAAACAAGCCCAATTACTATTACAGCCTACCACTGGCTTACTACTTGTGAGCGTCCACCTTAAAGGGGTAGAGGGCTCAGGCAGATAGACTGCCGAGGTAAAAGACTGTACTAGCTAGTCTAGTACTCGCCTGTATGATGTCTTCTTGCCGGCAAGACACCACGGATCCACGTTCGAGCCTTCGTTCAATACTGCAGCACTCCGGAATGCTCAGGATGCTTCTTGCGGTCGACGGATTGATGACTGCTTTCACGGGGCGACCATGACGCTCGCCCCAACAGTCAATCACCAAAGAAGTGCGGATCCGCAGTCCAAAAAAAGAGTGGTTTGCTCCGTCCTGCGGTCGAGGCGTTCTCGCTGCAATAGAGATAGGCGCGGAAGAAGCCATGGAAGCCCCTGCTGCCTATGCTGCTGCCGCTGTTTCCGGCCTACTCTTGTCGGGTATTGCTGTGCAATGAATTATTATTATTCAGCAAAATATGATACACGTTAGTTATTTTTCGGGTCTCTTCGTTCCAATGCACGAATTCGTTTGTTCAAGCCCTCTATTTCAGACGCATTACGCTGGCTCTTGGTGTTTGCACGCTTTGCCTCTTTATTTGCTTGTTGTGCTTCTCTGTTTGCTTGTCTTGCTTCTTCATAGGCAAGTCGAGCAAGAATACGCGTGGGGACGTAGTCCAGATATTGCCCAGAAAGCTCGCCAATGTTCAACCGTCCCCAAATTGGAGTGTCTTGGTGGACCTTCAGCGCCGATGCAACTCGTTGGGTCACTTCGGTGTTGGCCAGCGACCAGGGAAAGTTTAAACTGGTGATGGCGGCCACGGCGGTACCGTCCGTGTCGCGTTCCAGGTGGATTGCTGCATGAAGAAGCACCTTATCTCGGAAGAGTGTGTCCGGAGCGTTGCTGCCGTTGTCCAACATTGCGACAAGCAATGACGGTGGAAGCCGTGGATCAAATCCAACATGAAGAAACATGCGGCGGGCCAATAACAGTTTCACTGGGTGGCCATCATCCAGCAGGACCAGTCCTTCTTGAAACTGTGGAATGTTTGCCAGCCATTGGGAGCTCTGATCCGACAATCCTCGCTCCAATAGACTCACTATTCTGCCTCGGTTCTGCACCAAGGCATGCGCACACTCAACAGGAGTCCAGGAATCCACAATGGTTCGAAGGAGGCGCTCTGGGCGTGGATAGTCGGTGGCCTCGTGGAGCCGGTTTGCATCGAACAACGCAGGAGCGATCAGCGACTCATCCAGATCCCATTGGCGCAACAAAGGTGGAATGCGCATCTGACGCGAAATGGCTTTGGACACAAAGACCTCGAGTTGCAATGGTCTATCGTATCCTTTGGGGCTGTTTGGTAGAACCGAAAACAAATCTCGAAGATCCCTCGATTGCCAGTCGTCATGAAGAAGAAAGGTTTTCAACACAAACATGCCAAAGGCATCCACCTTGAGAGGCTTATTCTTGTTGGGTACCAAAATGTTGTCAAAAAATTCGCCAATGCGGATACCAAGGAAGCAAACTGAATCTTTTGCGTGGATGTATGCTCGAAGCAAGTTCATGGCCGATTCCAGACTGAAGCAAAACTCTTGTAGTAGGGGGATTTGTGGTTTGGAAAAGTTGTCAAAGAATCCGTTTGCACTGATCAGTGCCTGAGCCTCTAGTGAATGCCCATCTTGGAGGAGTGCATGTGGTATTTGTTCTCTGTATCTCGTGTGAGCTATCGCGCCGTATCGTGGGACGAAAAAGTCTTCACAGCCAAGATAAAACATCATAATGATGACTTGTTCTTGATGTTTCACAACTTGCCAGAATGTGCGTTCTTCTTCCTCCTCTTCTAGCATCTGTTTGGTTAGTTTGTTTTCATCTAGAGCCATCAGTACGGTTTCGACTGCGACTCTGCTGTCTACGTGATCGACGAGAGGTATCTCATGAATGGCTTCCTCCTTGATGCCATGGTCCCATCGTGAAGTCAAGGATTGCAAGTAGGAACTCCGAGCCACAACACTTTGTATCCTCTCCTCCGTCAAATGGCACACGACATGGCCATCGTATCGTATTGTCAGTGATGTTGTCATCTCTCGTTTTGGGTTTGTTTGGGCTTGTGATGGACAGCAAGAGCCAGTTTTTCCTCTCGAGAAACTCATCGGTGAGGTTCTTTCCTTTATACCGTACCGGGCAGACCCTGGTGATCTCTGACCCCGTTTATTGTGGTGGTGGTGGGTTTGCATTTATTTGGTTGGTTGGTTATCCTTAGGGTTAGAGTTTTACTTCACCCCCTCTTTCTTACACATTCTCATAATAATCCTACGGTAGCAAACAGATCCTAATATTTTCCTCACGTTGCACACCTCTAAACTCCTGTAAGCTACCACAATACTTTATCAGACGGTAAAATCTAACCATTCACATTGCACACCTCTAAACTCCCGTAAGCTACCACGCCACTTTCTCAGATGGTAAAATCTAACCACTTACGTTGCACACCTCTAAACTCCCGTAAGCTACCACAGCACTTTCTCAGACGGAAAAAGCTAACATTCACGTTGCACACCTCTAAACTTCCGTAAGCTCACCCACTTTCTCAGACTGTAAAATCTAATGACTCAAGTTGCACACCTCTAAACACCCGTAAGCTACCACGCCACTTTCTCAGACGGTAAAATCTAACCACTTACGTTGCACACGTCTAAACTCCCGTAAGCTACCACGCCACTTTCTCAGAGGTAAATCTAACCACTTACGTTGCACACCTCTAAACTTCCGTAAGCTACCACCACACTTTCTCAGACGGTAAAATCTAATGACTCATGTTGCACACCTCTAAACTCCCGTAAGCTACCACGCCACTTTCTCAGATGGTAAAATCTAACCACTCACGTTGCACACCTCTAAACTCCTGTAAGCTACCACGCCATTTTCTCAGATGGTAAAATCTAATAACACAATCTTCAGACAAACTTCAACAACATTAGCATACTGGCTCATCTTTTAATTCAGCTCGCCCGGTATATCCATTACACCTTCGGTGTCCTTTTCCTCGTGTTCTCATCCAAATCTTTCAGTCGTGGCTTGATCTTTCGTTTCGCTTCGATTCATACGTCAGCATTAGGGTTAGGGCAGCATTGGTTCTAGGAGAAGCGTTGCCTCGAAAAAGCCAACAAACCACCACAACTCCTTGGAGAAGCCCATGAATTCAATCACTGCCTTTGCCTTGTTGTCGCTACAGCAACATGTCGGAGCCCAACACTACTTCATCATCATCGTCAAAGTACTATTGGATCGGATGTTCTGGTTCTGGCTACGTGTGCATGAGTGAAGAGCGATTGGGCTCTCTTCTCGACATGATGCCCACCCTCCGCTTCCTCCTCTTTGGACATCCACGCATGCAGCCCAAAAAGCTCCAGCAAAGTACGGATGGCGCCACACTTGTGGAAATTTCTCATGAACTCGAAATCTCCAAGAAATCCTTTATTCTTCTCGTCAATTGTGTTCTGGGCGCGGAGCCACTTCCAGCGCGAGGAACTCCAAAATTGACGCAACTTGTGGATGCCATGACAACGCTCGGCGGATGCGAGCAGCTCGAGGCCTCTCTCAAAAACCTCCAGACGAATCCTTTGACCCCACAGGATGATACAAACAATGAATATGTGTGGCATGTTCTGCAGACTTTGAAGTATAGTTCGCTTTCGGTTTACGACACTGAGGTTCTGCGCAGCAAAGCAGGATGCGCTTATGCATCTGCGATAAAGGATCCTAAATCTGGTGTCGTGACGCATTACTTCCGAGCCAAGAAGTCTATCTAAATGGAATGAGGACAAGAGCTGGAATTTCCAGAAAAAGTCCCACGAAGACACCAAGAGCAAAGGCAATGACAGAACAAATTCACAAACCAAAGATGCTGTCGAAGGAGACCGTATATGTAGTGAGCGCCGAGAAATGAACAACATCAACAATCAGCACCGTCAAATGAGAAAGAATATGAAACTAGACCGGCTTGGATGACCTTGGAGGACAGCGAAGTCGAACAATCATTCGTTTAGCCACGGCATTCATGCCGCACATCATAAAATAGCGCTTTCAAATTAAATAATGGAAACCTAGTCTCAATATCGATCTGTAACGTACGATGCAAAGGATGACTCGTCCGTCGCTGGGCAGTTGCGCATCGGCCAATCAAACCATATTGAAGGAGAGAGCCATCAAGTACGGTTCCCTGTCATCAAGCAATGGAATTCGCAGGTCAAACACCCCAGCTTCCTCTTTTGGGAGCTTTTGATGTCCCGGCGGAGAGTTACACTGACAACGTTTAGTGAAACAGTTCTGCTACAACGGTAGAATACAGGAGCTATCCTACCGTACATTGTTGTGAACCAAGTTTGGGTGACGGACCTCGTTTGCGCCAAGGAGGCTGAACAAGTAAGTTTGCTGCCGTGCCGTAGTGAGCTGGGAGCTCTGCGAGAATATCGCAGCTGCAAGAGAAACAGGCAACAAACCATCTTTCCGAGCGGAGAGTTGAGTCTAATGCACTTCCAGTTACCCGTACCCGTACCCGTCCGAGAACAGCGCCAAGGACAAGCAAGAACTATTCTTGCAAAAAATGGAAAGGGTTAGAGTTTCCGAAAGCCAAAAGGACGTGACGATGGCGCCCAAACTCCATTCGCGACGCGGTCTGTTTTAGTAGTCTTGATCAACAGCAATAGAGAGGAGAGGAAGAGTAGACAGTAATCAGGATCAGCTCACTTTGATACTGCTATCTACCCGTCTTCTTTTTGATAAGTTGAAGTCATCTATCCATCTGATCAAACGTCTTTTCTGTTTGGCCAATGAACACCCCACTGCCGACATGGTTCGAGTTGGTAGCGGTGGAGTCAGACGAAATAATGTGCCTTCTCCAAGGCACTTTACCTTTACCACATGGCACCAGCATGGTGGACTGTTCCGAAGGCAAACTGATATTATCACGGCTCTGTTGGGAGTCTCTGTTGTGATGCTCTACTCGGCATACTTTATGAATCTGACTGGCTACCCAGGACAGACTACTACCTACAAGAAAACTCCCGACCATCAGAAGCAGCCAGGGTCGCTTGCCAATTCCAACACTATTGATGATTTGAGAAAAGATTCCAAGTTAAGCATCTTACCACAAAACAATACAAGCGCGGACAATACAGCCAAACCAGTTGTGATTGCCCACGTTGTGAGCCTTATCAAGTGTGCCGAAGCAACCTCCGTCACGGGATTCTTGGATGCAGCTGCCGTGTTGAGACATTCCATTCACAAGACATCGGTCCATACCATAGACCCACAAACTTTCCAACCAGTTTCAAAGTACAGCTATCAAATGTATGCCATTGTGCACGCGGAAAATTGTGCCAACCATGCACGTGGTTTGGCCGGGTTGGGTTACACGACGTTGATGAGGCACAATCCCGTCAATCGCTCGGATATCATCAATGAATCCTATCGCCACTTTGTCCAATATGAAAACTGTTGTGGATTAGACGAGTACGTTCTTTAGTATGGCGTGGTTGCTATACGGGATCCGTCTCATTTTGCCTGACTCCTTGTTTTTGTCCGTGACATCTGCTATTCTATGTTACTCACAACAGGTTCATCAAGCTGTATGCTTACACTCTGCTCGATCATCCCATCAGCGTTCACTGGGATATGGACGTATTGGTGATGCAACCCTTGGACGAACTCTATGATAGCATGCTTTATGACAAGGACTCACCACAGGGCCAAGCTGCACGCGCCAATCTACACTTGTCCTATCCTCTGCAACCTCTGCCCGATCGAATCGACGCCTTTTACACCAAAGACGTGACTTCCAGTCAACCATGGGAGATGCGACAAGGCGTCCAGGGTGGGTTCCTGGTTGCTCGGCCGAGTCTAGAAATCTTTCAGAAATACAAAGACTTTATCACGGAGGGAGACTACATCAAAGGTCGGGGTAATGGATTTGGATGGGGAGGTTTAGGGTTTGGTGGATTCCAAGGAGCCATGGCCTACCAAGGAGCTACTGCCTACATGTATGACATCATCTACCCTGGTCACGCCGTTCCATTGAATCCATGCATCTACAACCAGGTCGTAGCCGATGTGCTTTGGAGGGGTCCTCATGCAATGGAATTTCACATGCAATGTCGACAATATCCACATGAAGGTTATACTTTTACCAACAACACCATCGAGTATAGTGCTTGCCAGGATTGTCGCATTACACCGGTGGCGGACACCAAGACAGTTCATTACACCGCGTGTAAAAAGCCGTGGGAATGCATTGACCCAAAGCCACGGCGTCCAAGAGACAAAGCCCACGTGTATCGATTGGAAAACTTGACCAATCGAACCACATGCCACCTCTTGTTTGCCGAATGGTTCCGGACGCGCAGAGAATTTGAACAGCTCCTGGCCAGGGCAGTGGAGCCAGCGACTGCAGAGGGGCAATTTCTGCCCGATGCATTTTTGGGTTATTGCAAGAAACGATGGAAATACATCCCCATGGTTCCACCTCCTGAAGGGTTTGATGTGAACTCGCTGTACGGCATGTAAGACACCGCCGCAAAGTAACTTGTTCTTCGAAAGTTGGCTTTCTACATTCTCACAGCAAGCCAACAAGTGCCGACAATCCGCTAATGACGCTGGCCATGACGACTCCTACACCACATGTTCTTGCGTCGGAGCCCTCACCACCATCGGCAGTACCATCACTCTCAGCATGGCATGTTCTGAATTCCGCGTGTGGGAAGGGACAGGCCGAGCTGTTGGAACCAGGCTTCAGAGCATCAAAATACCGCACCTCCACGCGTCTGCCACCATCAGAGGCGATAAGGTTGACGAGCACGTTGTCAATGTCGGGAAGAAACTTGCCAATCTCAGTTGCTTTGACTGTATCTATCCGATAATCATAATCTGGTTTCCACTCAAAAATTCTCTGATTCAAGCCTCCTGGTAAAATAGTCAAAGCCCGGTTTTGAACGTACGAGTCCATGTAAGTGAGCGGTACGACGTACCCACCCACCTCTCGACTTTTCTCCCCAAAGACGCCGCCCTTTTCTTGATCGGCCACATACAAGGCCAAATTATTGTTGATTCGACCCACCCCGTTTACCGAGAATGTGAGAAAGGCGAACTGAGCGCCCTGCTCTGTCCAGTATTCATAGTCATAAAAGAGATAATCGAGATACTGCAGATTGCTGACTTCATCTGTCTTGTCGGCGGGAAAGTACAATGCCGGGATTTGCATGGCCCCATTGCCTTTTTCAAAGACAAAGACAGGTTCTACTTCTCCCACGTTGGTAATGTTCAAGACATAAAAGTTCTGGTCCCAGAGTCCTTGAACCGTGGAGCCTCTGTAGTTGGATTGGACTTGTCCATAGAGAAGGAACATGTACTCTCCGTCGTAGTTTTCGTATCCTTTCTGATACAGAATGGGTTTCAAGGGCGAAGTGTAGTTCACTCCATATCTCACAGCAACCTGAGACACGTCCGTCGAAATGTCTGCCGAAAGATCCCAAGCTCCTCCCGAATTCACAAACCCTGCATCACTGACGATCAGTTCCCCGTTTTGAAACGGTCCTCGCACTCCTCTGGTGGATTGTATAGTCGCGGATTGACTACAAATGGAAGTAGTGCCGTCCATAGTCGTGCTGCTATTGTTGGGGACAGCATCCGACAGAATGTACTGCAACAGAGCATGGTAGTTGGGAGTGATTTTCGTCTTGTACTTTTCAATCTCATACAATATCTTGTTCCACAACGGCGGGTTGGATTTGTAGGATGTTTGAGTGGGCCACAGAATATGCATCCCGGTCCCTGCCTGGCTTCCCCGTCCGACTCGGGTGGCAATAAATAGATTGTCGTATGCGTCTTGGGTTGCTTGCAAGGTGTTTCGAAAAGGACCACTTGGTTGACAAAGGGTGTTGAATTGATCCAGAAAGCTACCAATGTCAAGACTGGAGGGATCTACCGATCCACTCAACGAGTCCGCCAAACCGGTGTACGCATTGGCCGTATCTCGTGCGCGCCACACAAAGACACGAGCCGTGTCATCTCCTTGCTGCAGCACGGACAAGAGCTGTTTCGCGAATGCTTCCCAAGTTTGAATAAAGGTGGGAAAGTTTGCCGTGTCGACCATCGACAGCGACTTGGGAGTCTTTTGAATGGCTCCTCCCTGTGTAAAGTAACTAAGGTAAATGTCTTGTGCGAGATCTGCGGCTTGTGTATGAGTGCCATTGCCACTGAGGGACGAATACTTCCATCCTGTTTTTGCAAGCAAAACAAGCAAGAATGACAACAAAGTAAGTGATGATGAGAGAGACAAATTCAAAACACAAAAACTACTAGCCTCTTGCAACGACTTGACTCGACGTACCTTGCCCCGGCACGACCGTTTCACTGGCCAAAATGGTTCTCGCCACATGCGCGTAGTCATCCACCGCTTCCACGGCCATCATGAGGCTGCCATCAAAACCAAGGACATCCAACTTGTCCTTGCCGGCTGTCGCACCCAATGCATTGGCAATGGCCGTGGCAATGCCGGCATTGCCCTGCAACAACTGACGATGATGATCCCCACCAAATCCTGCAAAGCCACCTCCGTAGGCCGAAAAGGTGGCCATTAAGCTTTCATTGTGGCCACTGCGCGTGCAGTCGAGAAGCGCGTGTGCCAAAAACGATTGCATCGATGCGATAGTGTCGGAATTCTGTTCTCCCAATTCTTGGTCAATTCTCATGACCTTCAAGGTTGTGTCGTAGGTAATGTATCGACTTCCCGCAAAGGGTCCCACGATGGAGTCGCCATTGGTATTGACGGTATCTGGCAGTGTTTGCGGATTTCGATTGTAGGCATCAAAGTAGACCCAGAGGCGAACCCCATGCTGAGTAGTAATGGCAGGTGCCCGAATCAGTTCTTGATAGTCATCTTGCAGGAAAAAACTCTTTTCGCTGTCGGCATTCATGTATACCATCAAGCACGTCTTGGCGTCGGTGAGGAGGAGAAAAGGGAGCAGCAGCACGGCTGCTAAGAGTAGGTTCTTGCTGTGGACCAGAGAGACCATGGTTGGTTTCCACCTCTCTTTTGTGGCTTTTTTGTTTTTCTGGCTGGCTAGTGACAGTCTTCTTTGGCACAATTCAATGGCACTGTTTGTCTGAATGAACCTTTGATTTCCAAGCAGCAGAGATTACACCGTAGAAAGATGATGGTCAATGCTTCCTTCTTTCGCAAGCTGGCATGAAGGCAGTCATTGAATTACGATTCACGATGACCGGTCACTGTTCTGTCTGTATTCCGAATGTCTCTTGGGATCCTTGGATCTTGGAGCCAGATGAGGTCAATCTTTTCTTGTACACCTGATGATATCCTACATGAATGTATCTGTTGTAATGTCATCATGTCGACATTCCTCTTCGCACGACGATCACTCTCACTAGATGTTCTATTGCATTTGTTGTTGATGTTATTATCTCATTGGGTTGCTGTGTTGGTAGAGCCATTGGCAGTGCCAACTCCTGCTAATAAGAAATCGCAGAATGTTCCGAAACCGACATTAGTCCAACATGATATTGTGTACACCGACAAAGGTATCATGAGTTTGGCATTGTTGCCACCACTCAATAATAATGAAAAGCAAGAGAGAAAAATTCTGGCAGGGACCAAACGGGGTACCCTGGTAGAGTTTGCATGGGACCCTGTGGCCCAGTCTTGTACTTGTCAAGGAGAAATAATCCATACCAACCATGCATCCGAGAAATCCACATCCATTCCGTATCCAATCTACTCGCTACAAGTGTTTGACAACAAATACAACAACAATAAGCTGCAGATATTCTGTGGAAGCGGGGATCGATACATCAAGGTCATGGAAAGCACAAGTACAAGTATAGAATCATCGGATGATGGCGAGAATGATGATCCTTGGCACTTCACGCAACAATTGGGTCCTCATACGGGATGGGTCAAAGCATTGGCCATGGATAATGATGAGGAAGAGGAACAACCATGGCTGCACAGCATTGGATGCAATTGCATTGAAACTTGGAAACAGCAGCAGTCCTCTGAAGAACGATGGACTCACTGTACCAAACGGTCCATCGAGTCTAGCCCTAACCATGGGTCCACTCTGTCTAGTGATTTACTCTGTCTGGTCACATGGAATGGTTTCCTCTGTGCAGGTGGAGTCGATGGTCGCATTCACGTGTGGCCGTCCCATCCAGAGCCTCTGCTATCATCGATTGGAGCACATCAAGGTCGTGTCAATGCACTGGCCATTCTCCCGACAACAGCATCTGCTTCATGCATGCTGCTCTCCACGGGACACGATGGAGAGCTGCAGTGCCGAATGCTAAGGACAGGCAAACAACCCATCCTGTTGACAGACCAACCAGTGGCCACGTTGGCTGTAGTGGACCATGATGGCGCTCCACTACGAATATCTTCGTTGGCATGCACACCACTACAATTATCAGAAGACAAGAATACAACAGCACGCATCTTGCTGGGAACCACCAATGGGTTAGTGGTGAATGCCATCCTACGAAACACAGACAATCAACAGTGGACCGTCACGGAACAATCCCGAGTCCAGCTGCAGGATGATGGCCAGAATGATTTGGATCCAATTGCAACAATATCGGTCAACGCAATCGAGATTCTGTCTCCTCCACACCAGCAGCAGCAGGAAGAGCCAGTTTGTGCGGCCCTTGTGGGCCATTCCAAAGGACTCTCTGTGATTCACCTCCATCATCAGCGATGAGTGAGATCCGAACAACATCAACCAGCTTCTTGCGTTTTGGAAAAACAAGCAGCACTGGTTAGCTGGGCAGTTAATATCGATAAGGCTCGCCTGGATCAGCTGCATGGCACACTTGAAAAACTGGGACATTGCTTCTCGTTTCAAAAGCTGCAACTGGGCTACTGGGCTCGTTAAAACTAGTCTACCATTAGAACATGGGCCAGGAGGAAAAGAAATGCACACGTCCTTTCCCATGCTGCCGATTCTGTTCGACCGGAGAAGGCTGCACGGGAACAGATGACGAGCAGATGAACCATGGAAATCAAGGGTAAGTGGCTCCACTCCAGCTACCAAAGCAATGCTCGAAAACGATGTCATGGCCTCCCAGCTGGAGAAAGATCGCCTCCAGTGGGCTCTGTAGTATTAGTACTGGTACATAACACTATCAGCGCTTTTAGAGAGCGACTAGTCTAGCTAGAGCGTTTAACCACTGCATGAGATTGGGCCAACAAATGACACGAGGGGAGGTCGCAACTTGACTGAATGACAGAAAGAGTCCAAAACAGTTGTGTCAAGCCAAGCGATGACTTGATGCCATGTCTGGAAACTTAGTGTAGATCTATAGCTTTATGGAACTATGTTGCCAGCATCCCCGATAGCTGTACCGGTACCGGTGTATCATAGTACTATGATGTCAGGAACTCTGGTCGAATCTCACGACCCACAACATTGTGAGTAAACGTGTGGCATAATCTGTCCGAATAACGAGTTTCTTCCACCTCATAGGACACTTTTACTTTGGATCCATCTGGCTTGTCACATCCCTCAAACTTATAGGCTTTGCAATGTTGAACGAGATGAGTCTGAAAGGATTTGTGGTCCCACTGCTTGTGTTTCTTTTGCAGTCCCATGGAGAACGCGACAAGCCTCAGTGGAATGTTCATGCTTTCCCAAGTTTCGTTGCTATTGTCGCCGACTTGTCCTAGAATACCCATAGGCTTGAGCTTGACCAGAGCGAGGGTGTTCTTGTAGATATCCCAGGGGCTCCCACTGAGGAGGTCCACCGTTGCAAAGAACTTATCGCCTGCTGAAGGTTTCAGCTTGCCCGTTTGATATTGCGTGATGTTTCCTGTTCTGCCAGAGTACACCTTGTCTTCTTCATTGTTCCACCTCACAATCTGATCAGCTTCAATGCCCACCATAAAAGCCAACGTAGTGAGTTTCTCTTCGAATTCCGCAAACGCTTCCATGGGATCCTTTGCGGCGGCTTCCTTGAAACATCCCTTTCGAGCGGTTTCTCGATTGTCATGACCCAGGTGCATGTACGGACTTGTCGCAAAGATATGCCTAAGCTCAAACAAGACAGAGTACACAACAGCCCACATGTCCGATTCGTACACTGCATTAGCGACACCTCGGCCTTTGTCACAAAGCGTATTGGGGCAAGGGGCGACAAACCCCGAGTTTAACCAGCCGCCAGCATTTGTGGAAAAGGAAACTTCCGGCATGATTTCAATGCCAAGGTCGTTCATTGCCGATGTCACTAGCTCTCGATACTCCTGTGCGGTCGGTATACTGACAGGAGGAGCTCCCTTCTTTGGTTGCAAGGCAGTGTATCCCAGCTTTGGCTGTGACTCCAGTCGAATGGCAAAGCCAAAGTCATTCACCAACCGCAACTGAACAAGATTGAATCCCAGAGGAGAAACATACTTCTTTAGCAATTCCAGGATATCCGAAGTGGGCGTTCTCATGCTGTTGACCATGTCAAAGATGATCCCAGTAATAGGAATTGAATGCTCTCCCCCCAACGGCGAAGATTTACTTTCCTTCCGCTTCCGACGGGGCACGGAAGGCGTCGGAAGGGGATCGTCCGCAAACTTGCTCCAAAAGTTATTGTAGCCACTAGTTTCCAGCGATTTTCGTGTGCTGGCGGTGCTCTTCAGCTCGAGTTTCATTCCCTCCCTTGTCAGCCGTCCACAAATCCCTTCTTTCCACTGCTTCCATGTACCTTGATGATCATCGATAAATTCGCTGTCCAAAACTGTGATGGAGCCCTGTAGATTGCACCATCGATCATTGATTCCAAGGCCGAGGCAAGTTTGGTTGAATGACATTACTTCTGCCATCTTGCCAGAGAATTTTGTATCCGAGGCACCCATAGACACGGCGATCAGCCTTGTTGCAACGTTCCGTTGCCTCCAGTATTCCTCGCCAAGCTCAAATGTTCCCGCAATGATTGCCTTGGGTCTTCCCGCACCTTTGAAATAATTTAGGGCCGAGTGTGTGTTTCGATATACCGCCATTCCATCGTCATTGTGATTATTGTCAAAGTACAACCCTTTCGAGACGAACCATGGCCTGGCATCTCCGGATGGGAGCTTGGGAACGTCACTCTTGACACCTGGAAAGGATTCCCAAAAGTGCTCAATAGCCCCGGCACGATCCAGAGAAAGACTCTGCCCCGTTCGTTCCCATCGAATGACTTGCTCCTCAGGATAGCGGAGTTCTTGGAGAATACCCTTTAATTGTTTTTCAAATCCAGAATAGTTAAAGGGTCGAAGACCGACTTCTGTAAAGCAAGGATCTGCCATGTTCACTTCATCCCCTCCAAGATGTAGATATGGCGGGTTGTCAAATATATCCAACACTTCTCGCAGCACCGTCTTCAAAATGGTTTTGATATTGGGGTGTTCAATGTTGAGTGGCAATCCGTACCCTTTGTCGCAGATAAACTCGGAACACATGACAACGAGCCCTGGGATGCCCGCCCAACCTCCCGCATGACCCGGAAGGTTAATCTCGGGAAAGAGTGTAATGTTGTAGCCCCTGGCAAATTGCACCAACTCGCGTATATCCTTTGCCGTATATGTCTTTCTCTGTTTGTTGTACTTTAACAACACGGGGTTGGCGAGTTGAGGATAGGACTCGAGCTGCAGATTAAAAGTTTGATCATCGGTCAATCGAAACTGTATGAGAGTAAAGCGCAGTTGATAGAGGTAGACAATCAATCGTTTCCACCAGGACATGGAGAAGTAATGCCGACCGGCATCGACCAAGACCCCAATTGGGACCATTGGTTCAAAGGGTACCCGGTGCAGTTTGTGAATGGGCGTATCGACCCGTGCCACTTTGAGTGGATCCGTCTTGTCCCGTAGCTTGGCCAATCGCAATGCTGCCACGGCATGCTTGTAGGTACTGTGCAGATGGTCTTGTTCGGAGGGTTTGAGCAGGACCACCTTTTCGCTTTTCTTTTGCTGTTTCCCGTCGGGTTGCTTGTTATCATCATTGTTGTTGTGGTTGTGGATGACAACCCCTTGGACTACAGCTTTCAGTGCAGACTTGGCAGCGGCTCCACCACGTGTCTCGTCTTTCAACATGGATGGATTTTCTGGTTGTGTGTGTTGTTTGTCATCTTGCTTTGCCTCAGAGTCTTTCGGTTCACTCTGCTGGTTCTTCTGCTTCAGGGCTCGCTCTTTCTCCGTGTTCTTGGCAACAGGAGAAGCCAGTGTATTCTCATCTGGCAAAGCGTTGTTGTTGTTGTTGTTGTCACTGTGGTCAGATCCTTTTCTGCCATGAAAGATATTCTTGGGACTGTCAATTGGCTTTTGCAGTGTCTGATCATGGTCTACCTTGTTGTTGTGTTTTCCCTTGTGATTTGCAGTGTCGTCATGCAGGTCGTTTTTGGTTTCATGGGCTTTGGAATCTGGCTTTTGTGGATTGTTTTCGTGGGATCTCGCCTTGACTGGTTCTGGCTCTTGTTGTTTGTCAAGTTGGAGTTTCTTTGTGGCCTCTTTTTGGTTTTCAGCTGCTTTGTGTTTGTATTTTGAATAGTGCTTGTCTGCCTCGTGTTGGTCTTGCCACTGCTGGTGTTCTTGTTGTTGCTTGGCCTGCTGTTCATTGTTTCTCTTTTGGATATCATGGAGCCGGGTTTGTTTTTTGTCTTCATGAGAAGCCAAATGTTTCCGTTTGTAAATGGAATACCCTCTCTTGGCCACTGCCAATGGTGTGTCGTTGTTGTGAGGATGTTTGGAAGAGAAGAATTCCGAGGATTTGGCCATTTGGAACATGAAGAGGACGCTGGATGTCATTGTAATCACCAAGAGCAGTAGAATGCACCGCAGCCGACTCACAAAGGCTTGTTTCTTGGTCTTGACGTTATTGACATGATTACTACTAATAAAGGAACTGTTGGGTTTCACCAGTCTTCGCTGAGACTGTGGTGGCTGCTGCTGATGAGAACCGTTGGAACTCGGCGGTGATCGGAACATCTTGTAGAGTAAAAAAAGGTTTTCTCAGAGGATCGATATTGGTACCAGATGGCCCCCACTCCACTCAATTAATTAATTGTTGGGTGATCAGATGCGCTGCAATTGGCTGGGGATAATAACTACTAGCTAGTACTCAAGAGCTGCTCTCTCCTTCGACTGGTTTCTGTGTTCGAATAGTACTCCTTATGCTTACATCTCCTCAAGCAACTCCATTTCCGGTTGGCTGAAAGGTGCTGTGAGTATCATCTCCTCTTGGAGTTGTGGTTGTGGTTGCAAAAGCGCCAAAACCCCACTTTTGAACGCAGCTTTGAATTTAAAAAACGGGTTAATGCTCTGCGTCGTTGGAAGGAATTAGAGAGTAGTAAGGGATGTTAATGTCACTGTTCGTTGGATCTGTTTACTCGTTTTCCCTCATTTTTTCCCGATGAGCTTATTTATTTAGCTTCGGAGCACTCCCCAGATTCCCAGAAGCCAGAAGCCCCACATCGAACACTAAATTCTCATTCGTGTATACCCATTCTTTCAGTCATGCCCTCTAAGTCATTCAGTCATTTCGTTAAATATTTCCATTAAGCTCCCCAAAACGTTCACTTGTGGGTATATGGACCGTGTTTGGTGTTAATGCTCTACTTTCAAATGGCAACTATAGGTTTAACACTCATCTCAAACAGATAACAGAAAGAAATAATGGCTAGGTCAACTTTGAATTTCTCATTACCCATACCTTTCAATGCGTCGGTAGCTAGCTACCATGCACCAGTACCAGTACGGGGAGTTGGGGAATATTAGCATGGTCATTGAAAGAACAGCCTGGATTGGAAAAAAAGCCTGGATTGATTCTGCAGAATTAGGAATTTCACAGAATCGAATCGGTGCAACAGATCTGTTTTCTCTCACAATTTTTGCGATGAGCTTCGGAGCACTCCCCAGATTCCCAGATCCCAGAAGCAAGAAGCCCCACATCAAGCACTACCGGTACCGTACCCCACACATCATACCGTACCAGTTGACCATGGCTCCAGCATCTACCGCCACCACCCTGCCAATGAAGAAGCGACGCAAGATACATAGCATGAAGCCACCACAGCTCCAGAACCTCCACTCAAATCCGTCCCACTCAACAGATTGCTCCACCCATGCTTTGATGATCAAGAACGACGACGGTTCGTGTTGTCCTGTGCCGAAAGACTTGACCACGTTTCCTATTGGCTGTCGCGTTCTCTTTTATCAGCACAAGCAGGTACTTTCAGGGACCATTGTCAAGGTGGGCTTGGATTCCACAACAAAAGAATTGAGGTACCAAGTCAAAGTCAGTGTGAAAAAGAGAGTAGACTAGTACAAGAATACGTGTGCCTTGTTGCCAGTGAGGATGCTCTCTTTGCTCCTCGATCTCCCGTTTGGGTCACTCTGAATGATAGTGATAACAACAGCAACCAATATAACAAGGCTCTTATCCTGGAGCATTCCTTTGACGGCGTGTCCGGGGTCCTATATACCGTTTTGGTCGCCAATGACGGAACCACACACAACAATATTCTGCCTCATCAATTGGTGTTGCGGCGTGCCGGCAATCATCATCAAAGCTCCTGGGACAGGGAGCAATCTGCCACCACTGTTCTAACACGAGGACAAAATCTTGGGACTTGTTCCTGCCAGCCGGCAGTGCTCCTCAAGGAAGAGGATGCCGCTAGCGCCGTCGCAATCAAACCAGAACAAGAGCAAGATCTTGGCAGCGTAGAGAACAATTTTTTTTCAACTCTACCCTCGTCAGTCGCAGAGAATGAGTGCTCAGGCGTCTGTATCCAGCCCAACAAGATGGAACATGACCAAACTGAAGACTCTGACGGTTTGGCAAACGATCTGCCATCGTCCTACAGCCCAACGTTAAAAGCAGTGGAAGAGTGCGCAGTAGATCAACAACCAACGACTACTACTCACGATCCTCACGGTATTACCACAAAAGAAGGTTCATTGTCTAATCCATTCCAAGGCAATGAAGATTCCGGATGCTGCGAAGCCAGTGGTCGACCTTTTCAGCCCAGCCCAGGCAAACGTCATTCAAAGACTCCAAAGGCCAATGATGATGAGTTGGACGATGGTACCCTGAGCGAAGGAGAAATTGAAGAAACCAACGACAACGACAGTCATCCACAACTTGGCGGTCGCTGGATTCCACCAGCCGTCAGTGACACTGATATTGGCGAATCTTCCACCACCGTTGACCCCAGCAAGATCAACCCAAAAGACAAGACGACAAGTAGAAAGGAAGTTTTTAACCTTCAACCCAATCCATTTTCTCTCATTGTTCGATGTAGTCGCTACAGTTTCTTGGATACATTGGACCTGTTGATACCACAGTTGCAACGGGACGAAGTCTATCCGCGATTCTGTATGCACTACCATTTATGTGGCCAATGCTACGAGCACTGCCCCAAGGCCATTAGCCACAAGCCCTTGACTCAAACACAGGCTCTGCAAGTGGAAGCGTCGCTTTTACCAGCCATTAGCCCTCGTGGTCCTATCAAATGCCGGCAATCTTGCAACAACAACAACAGTCAGACGAATACCAGCAACAGTGGTCATCAACGCATCCAACCTGCACAGAATCGTCAACCCAATCCCTTCCGGAAACTCCAGCGTTCTAGCACTCATTCTCTCTTTGGGGCTATCAAATACGTCTCGTGGCTCATGAAGAATGATAACCTAACTGAAAACTTTCCAAAGGGTGCGTGCTTCCGATATCACTGTGTCGGATGCTGCCCACGCGGTGAAGAGTGTTTGCATGCTCGGACGCATCGCGACTTGACCCCAGAGGAGGCCCAAAATATGGAGACGGTGTTACTATCGGTTGCGAATTCCAATGGGTTGATCAAGGGACCGATCGTAGCCGCGGCTATTCAAGGGAAAACAATTCCACATGCTGTAAGCAGGGGTCCATGCAACAACCATAACATCAATATGACACCCCGACCCAAGCGGCGTCGCTGGGATGTCAATCCCAATGACGATAGCTACAATGTGTTCAACAACTACGCAAGAAGTCAAAGCGGGTGAGCCTGGATCCCACGGGTTGATGTTTTGCAACGGCTATTCAAACAACGTCGACAACCTTTGCACGGGCGATTTGCAAGAGTCGGGGGCTGCTCATTGCTTGCCCCTCGATCTCGATTACTGAAATAATAGTCTACACTGGTGCGCTTGTCTAGTAGTCAAATTTTATTACTGTACTGGTATTTATATCTAACATGTATGTACTCTTATTCGAACGCTTCAGTGCTCGAATCGAATCAATCTAGGTTCTCTGGTTCAGCAAGGTGCCATATCCACTTGGTGTTGAATTACTGCTGAGAACATCGGTAACTGGGTGGGCAAGAACGAGTCGCCATAATGGAACCACAACCATCCGACTCCAACCCCAAACATTCTTGATAACTTTCTTCTGTTTGACAGTTGCCCTCCGCAGGAGGCGTGCATTGACTTTCCAAGGGGTGCTGAATGGGCTCATCACCACAGGCGTAAACCGGGGGACATGACCTGGTCGCCATGAGATTGTTGCATCCTTCTCGTTGCAAGACAAGGCACTGCTGGTAGCTTTCTTCTGTGTGGCAGATGTCTGTGCTGGAGGGGGCAATGCAAGGATTTGTCTCCACGGTATTGGGGTGTTCGGGGAGGGTCTGTGCTACTTGGATTGGTTGAGCTGGAAGCGCTTGAGATGGGTACACGTTTTCGGAAGCAATCTTGCTGATACTGATGGTTGTTCCGGCACAGGAGTAGTGAGGAGGGCAAGAATCCGTGGAAATCATATCCGTGCAGCCAGAAGCTTCGAGTGCCAAGCACTCTCGGAAACTCTCTTCCGTGTGGCAGCCATCATTGGAAGGGGCAGTGCATTGACTCTCAATTGGATGGGCAGGTGGTGGAGCATAGATGGGTTGAACCGGAGTGCCAGGGGCGGCAGGAGAAGCGCAATTGTATTGAGGCGGACAGCTAAGTGTTGCCACAATGGCTTCGCATCCATGGGCTTCCAAATGGAGACATTCCAGGTAGCTCTGTTGCGAGTGACATTGATCGTTGGCCATTGGAGCAACACATACACTTTCTTCAGTGGGTAGCACTGGCTTTGGTGGGTCCGCACAGCCATAATTTGGTGGGCAAGAAGCGGTCGAAATCAATGTTTGGCATCCATGGGCTTCCAAATGCAAACATTCTTGGTAGCTCTCATTTGTGAGGCAGTCGTCGTTTTCCCGGGGGGCAACGCACTGGCTGTCATGCTCGGCTGATTCCACTGGATCTACACACCAATAGGTTGGAGGGCACGCATAAGTCGAAGCCATGCTCTCACAACCGTGGGATTCCAAATGCAGGCATTGTTGGTAACTCTCGCCCGAGTCGCAACCGTCGGGGGGAGAGCACTGAGATTGTGGTTGGCCAAGTTTTGCTTGAGTCTGGCCCATGGACTTGGTGGAAGTGTGAGCAAGGTGGGCATTGGCGTTCATTTTATTGAAGAAATCCGTTGTTGTAGTATCAGCTCCCCTCCCTTGGGTCGGAAGCTCATTGGACTTTGTCGTGGCTTGGGTTTGGCTTGCATCGAAGCAGCTATAAATGGGCGGGCAACTGAATGTGGACACAATAGTCTCACAGCCCTCCTGTTCCAGGAGAAGACACTGCTCATAGCTCTCTTCATCCGAGCAGGGGTCACCTGCTACGGGGTGGAAGCACTGGCTTGGGGTTTCAATGGGTTGGCTGGGCATAGACACATCAACACATGAGAAGTGTGGTGGGCACGAAGCTGTAGAAATCATGTTTTGACACCCCTGTTGCTCCAGTCTGAGACATTCACCATAGCTCTCTTCTGTGATGCAATCAGCTTTGGGAGATGGTGGGAGGCACTGGCTTTCGCTAGCCGGTTCAAGTTGATGGCTGGGTGTCTGTGGAATAGCACAGGAGAAGTGTGGTGGACAAGAATATGTAGAAATCATGGCCTGACATCCCTGTTGCTCCAACTTGAGGCATTCCCCATAGCTCTCTTCTGTGATGCAAACAGCTTCTGGAGATGGTGGGAGGCATTGGCTTGGAGGAGCAGGTTGGATTGGCTGGCCAGGCTGGCCGAAGGTCTTTGTATCCGGATCAGTGCAAGAGAACTGCGGAGGGCAGGAAGCTGTGGCAATGATGTTTTGACATCCTTGGTGCTCCAACAACAGACACTCGCCATAGCTTTCCTCGTTGGCACACTCGTCAAAGGGTGGTGGACGAATGCACTGGTCAGCGCAACTGTGGACGGGCGGGCATGATCTTGACGATTGGATGTGGCGACATCCATGTTCCTCGAGGAGAAGGCACTGCTCGTAGCTTTGTTCAGAGTTGCAGGTGTCTCCCGGCATTGGGGGCGTACAAAGCTGCTGCTGAGAGCTCAAGTTCCTGCGAGAAGCAACGCCTCCTTCTTGGATCTTTTCATGGATTGCGATCGGCGCTTTGACGAAGCAAAACATCATGGCTGAAACAAGGAGAATGCTACCAAGTCCAGCCGCAACTGAACGGATGCGACGAGGCTGCTTGTTCTCCATAGTTTCATTGTTGGAGTCAGGAGATGCCTGGGGAACTTCGGTGCAGCTGAGGGTGTTGGAGTATGTCATCTTTTTTCTTGATCGATCTTTTTTTATCCAATCAATTAGTTGGCAGTAATCAATGTGCGGGGTACTCTGTCTTCTTTGGTTGACTGTTGCTTTTGCTGCTTGTATTGATGTTGGTTTGTGGATCTTTGTATTGTGAGCTCATCTCATTCATCTTCATCACCCACTTCCTCGGAACGAGGCAATCACAGTTGTATCTTGTGAAATGGCCCACGGATTGCAAAAGATCCATGCCTGGACTTACGGAAAGCCATGTTCCCTTCCGGTTCCCAGACTTGCCGGTTGTTAAGTTTGCCGTTGTACCCAACTTCAATTACGTAATTAAGCTTCTTGAAGATCATTTAAAAGTTAGGCGACATCGATTCTTGCATGACATAAAGAACCGGCAATATTTTGGCGAGCACAAATGAGAAGCCATTAGCTGGCAACTCCCGTATTACCGTATGCTATCTATGGTTTCGTACTACATGTACTAGTACCCCAGCTAGCTTGTTCGTTTTGTACGGTACCGGGAGGAGCTCCTTCCCAAGCTAGCTAGAGAGCAAAGGGAAAAGAAAGAAGGACAGGAGTTCATGCTGCAACGTCTGTGCTGGTTGCTCTCAAAGATTCAGATTCATTCCAGTTCGGTTTGACTAAGGACTCTGCAACTCGAGTCGAGTCAAGTTAAGTCTATGCTTTATATCCGACTGCTTGATATAGCCAGCAACTCCTGGCACTCCTTTTGGATACATCTGTATTTTTGCATTTCTGATAGACAATCGTAAGAAGAATAGCAATTGTTTGCCAAGGCCCAAGCAAGATTTGGTGGCAGTCAAGTCGCCTTGGTTGGAAACGTTGCTGCGCCTATCGCTCGGTATGCCATGAGCCGCGATGGTACTAGCTGGCTGGTGCTTGTAGATCTGAAAAATCAATAGTTCTGTCTAACTAGAAATAATAAAGGATGGACAATGAGATAGAAACGAATGAGATAGAAAGGAGCACTGAAAAGAAGATGACCCAACGTTTGCAATAAAGCCTCCATTGCAAATTTGAAAGCCAATCTTTCCTTGTGTGCGTTGCACCAACCAGTCAGACATTCTTCTGTCTTTTTCTTCCAAAAATTAACATACTACTGTATATTACTAGACTACACTTTCGGTCTTGGAATATCGACCAAATCTCCCAGACTGGTGTAGATGTTGCCTCCCAATCGTCCAATGGGTCGCAACTTTGTCGTGTCAACTGCCGGTTTGTCATCGTTATTGTTGGGCACGAGTACGGATTCATCGACGTGAATGCGTACCACCTTGACCAAGACAATTTCCGTGGTTGGACTATTATTGTTGGATACAACAGGATGAACATGCTCCAAAACACATTCAAAACTGACGGCGGCTTGTCCCACTCGCGGCACCGTTTGGACGACTTGACAATCGTATACTTTGGTCAATCCTGCCATGTCAAATTCATCCACGTCGGGCGCAAACATGCCACAGGAATGATTGGCCGCATCCAAGTACCATTCCGACATGATATTCACACAGCACTGTTTCTGCCGCAAAATATTGACCAGCGAATCTTTTTGTTGACCTCCTTTGCGACAAAATCCAATGGCCAGCATGGGTGGATCGTGAGCGACGGCTCCAAAATAGGAAAAGGGAGCGACATTGTCGACGTTCGTGTCGGGATTGTGACTGGATACGAGTGCAATGGGACGGGGCGTCACGGAAGAAATGACGAGATTGTAGCAGGATGTCAGAGTTTCCGGATTGTAGATTTTCTTGTGTTTTCCAAAAAACAGAGTGGGAGGAGGAGGTGTTTGACCGGGTGTGTAGGATGGTCGATTATCGAATCGATTGTACGGTGTTGTGGATGTAGTAATCTTTTTGGAATTCTTGGTAGTAGAAGTGGCAGGTCGTCGTTTGGACATGACCAGGAGCCCCACCGCAAATCCCACGGCGCCTGCCGCAGCCAAGTCGGCCCAACGTGGTCGTCCTTCCATGTTGTTGTAGAAGTAGTGACTTGCCTCGCTATGATAGCAAACACAAAGGGTCAAACAATGTTCAAGACCTCCACAAAGCTTCTGTCGCCGATCTGACAGGCTGGCATGTCCCAGCCAAATAAAAGCAAAGATCTTCGAATTCTGTTCCTCATTCATTCATATGCCTCCTGGCTCGTCTCCGTTTCCATAAATCTTTTATTACCAACACCTAACTCGCTTTATTGAAACAGTATTCGCGCGCTCCGCGCGCTCATCCCTTTCTCTGCTTCGCCCCGAAACGGATCCCTCATTCATGCGAAAAATGTGAAGAACGCAAGGCGACTTTCATGTGCATGTACATGCGTTGACTGTATCCCGTCAATACAATACTAGTCGAATACGTAGACTTCTACAGAGGCCTCTAAGTAATGCACGCGGGGTATAATTCAAACCTCCACTCCCCATCAGTACCCTTACCCCTAAAAGCAAATCGTCTCCGGGAGACGAAATTCATGCGTCACGCTGGCGAATGAACTAAGTGACGACTATCCGTGACTAATAATGGAAATTTCCTTGTCGCGCATTTCTTTTTCTTGGCCATGGCGGTTGTGCGGCGCCATAATCATCCCTTGGTCGTCCACCCTTCTTCCCCCGCCTTTTCCGACACTACTACTACTAGTAGATCTGCAAGTACTACTCCTGTTAGTAGTAGAGCATCCCCTCTGGCGGCTGATTTTACTGATTCCTCCCAGAAGCGACTTCGGTTGGATTGGACTCGTTGGAGACAAGTGGGTCGAGTCGTCAAGATGAGAGCCTTGAAGGTCTTTAGCAATACTGGCACTCCGTCAGAAGAGGAGACAGAAGATGGAACTCCTGCAACGGATTCCACTCGCAAACACTGGAAGAGTCTCGTGAAGGAATTTTGTTTGTTGCGGCGACAGCAATCATCATTTGGCAATCGCAACGCAATGGAAGAGTCTGGTACACATGCAAATGGCGCAAGTCACCGACAAGACAACTGACACTAGCACTACTAGCAGTACTGAACCACAAATACAAGTACAACCAGCTAGTATTACCAAGAACGACAAAGATGACGACGACAAGCGATTGGAACAAACCGAACAAGAGTTCAACGACAATTTTCATTTGCCCAACGACGGCGGCGGCATTTTCTTTTGTGGCTATGCCAATTACGACATGGCCCAAGCATTCTTTCCCGATTACATGAAGCGATACACAGGTGGATTGGATAGCGGCACGCACGACTATTTGCCCTATGCGACACAAAACAAACGATTGCCCGACAAGAAGGATATTCTCGTGTTTGGCCTGCACGGCCCCTGTGCCGTCGATGCCCGACGGTTTCCCGGAAAAGTCTTGTTTGTCAATGGAGAACCCAATGGACCCAATATGGTACTCCAACTCACATTGCCGGGACGATCTCCAGGACAAGATGTCTATCAAATTGGATTGTTGCCCGATACCGATCACAGTGTCTTGATCTTTCACGGGGTCTGGAATCTCATGCGATTGCAACCCTCTGTCTATCAAACACTCTGGATACCCGACCAAAAACCCGTCAATTCGGGAAAATACCGCGGTCTCATGTACATGAATCGACAATGTTATCCCCATCGCGAAGCCGCCGTCAATCGCATTTCGTCGGTGATGATTGTCTATCACGGTGGCAATTGTCGCGGGATTGCGGCCAAACAACCGGCCCATCCCAGTTTTCAACGCATGGAACGGGTTCCCACCGAACGATTCTGGGCGGCCAATCGAGATGTCTACAGCGAATACACCTTTTGCATGGCCATGGAAAATTCACGAACGCAACATTACATGTCGGAAAAAATCATCATGGCATTTTTAGCGGGATGTATTCCCGTCTATTTTGGATCCACCGAAGTCTTTCAGGTCTTCAACAAGAATGCCTTTGTCTTTTATGAAATTGATGATCCCTTGCCGGCATTGGCCCAATTGCAAGAATTACATACCAATAAGACGGCGTATCAAGAAATGTTGCGACAACCCATTATGGCAAACGGGACGAGACGGTACGAGAGTACTTTTCGGTAAAGGACAATATTGGAGGAGGATTTCTCAAAAAGAAATTGAGAAAGGTCATGGGATTAGATGATGATGCATGATGGAAGTTATTTATTTGATGTCACAGCCTAGGAAGAATGATAATCCACTCCAATCCACCAGCGATGCCAAAAGGAGACAATGCAGGAATTTCAATTTCCGCTGCATGTTACAGAGAGGGGACACGGCATTTTCCTGGTTTGGTTCCCGCTCGCTCGCTCGTGCAGGTTGTCATACAGATTGTTGCAGCAGAGCATAGACGGCGCCCCAGATTATCGTGAATCGATCGAATCGAATCGAATCGAATCGAATCGAGCTCAGAATCAATCATCACAAATTCAGACTGAGAATCAATCATCAACGCTAGAGGTCCCCGGATCTTGTGCCAACGACGATCGTGAGCTCTGGGGCTACTGCTACCGGTACCTCTATGGCTACAAAACAGAACAGAGTTCATCGGTACCGTACGATACCACAGTTGAGGAGTTATTCTTCGTAAGTCCAACGATACCGTACCGTGCTTGGTACCATAGCTTTCCTTATGAACAACTCGCAGTGCTCAGATACACTCTTCCCATGACTCGAATCAATCATCACCCCATAGACGACTTGACAACAATTTGTCAGCACCCATTTGGAGCTCCACTTCGGGGTCTGAATTCTGGAAAGAGCAATTGACACGTGGCGCAGGTGTGAGCGTGTCTGAGTTCTCATCCCACTTAACAACCGTCTTAAGACCTTCATTCTCTCTCTTTGTT